TTCAGCCTGTCTGCATTGACTTTGACCTTGAGAAAGTCCAGGATGCCGTCAGGGATGTCAAACTTGAGGTTGGTGTCTGAGCCCCCTCGGCGTATGTTCAGGGGCAGGCTTAAGGCATTCATGTCATGACGTTCTACCTACAGGAGACAGAAAAGGAGGACTTTAAAACTGGAATTCAGACAGACGTGGTAACACATAACAGGCGTATTTTATTTTCTAGATTTCCCAACGGAAAGTAGTCACCAGATAAAAACCCCGACTATCCTGTCCAATTGAATGCAGGACAGCCTGGCTCCTTCCTACATTCACCAGAGATTGACTGTGAGAGGCAGGGCTCCCAGAGCATCCAATCTTCTAATCAGGTAGTTAACTATTGGTTGTCAAGGTGAAAACAACAAGAAAGAGTCAGTCTTGGTTTCTGAAAGTTGTCAGGTAACATCTAGGATGCCTTCCATGATCCATTCTGAGTTTTACAATCCTGGGAAAGGTGGCCAATTCAGAATTAAATCATTCAACCAAAGGAGAGCAGAAGGAGGGGTAGAAAGGAAATCAAGTTCCACCAGGTGCATCCATTAACATAAAAAAATGATTTCCTTAGTGGAATCATCAAACAAATGTGACAGAATAAAAGGTGCAAGATGGGTAGAAAGGAAAAAACATTCCACCAGGTGCATCCATTAACATAAAAAAATGATTTCCTTAATGGAATCATCAAACAGATGTGACAGAATAAAAGGTGCAAGATTAACGTTAATAACTGAGTAGTATACCCACAATGCTTGGAAATGTAAACAAACTCCAACCACAACCACAGTAATTTATTGTGAAAAGACTAACGTGAAAGAGTGTCTCACTCACAGGCCATGTGAACGAAAGAACTGCAAAAAAAGCAGTGAGGGTTGTGACAAGGTGGTGACCAGCTATGAGTCAAAGGGAAAAGGCACCCTGTGTGCCAGGCACTGCGGAGGCTTCATGTAACGTCACCTTGTTGGAGTCTTACCAACACGCCAGTGGCCCAGGGGGCGGGGGTACAATGGTTAAGTGCTTGGACTGAGAGATTGGTGGGTTAAAACCACAGAGGAAGACATCTGGTGGTCTGCTCCTAGTAAGACCCCAGCCTAGGAAAACCGTACGGTGTAGTTCCGCTTTGTCCTCTTGAGACACTACGCAACTAGGCAGCAAACAACAATAGCAACACATTCAGCAAACAGCACGTTATGTCCACATAATGTCTAGACATTGAGATGTAAGGAGGCAGGCTTTGAATCAAAGACATACTAACTCTGGTCCACTTTCTCTACCAGTACTCTAGAATCTATTTCCTCAGAAGACTGGACACAGGTCTCTGTGGAATCTGAACACAACCTGCAGAGTCATAAATCCTACACTGAAGTTAAAACTCTAAACAGGTTTGGAGAATGACTCATCAACAACTTGAGTAATGCAGATGATTAAGGAGGAGGCAGGAATCACAGAAAAGTCCCACTGATAAGATAATTTGCATGGTAGGCACCTGAGGGGAAACAGGAGTTAGGGAGGGGCAGTGAGCTTTAGATAAGATCCTGTTTAGGTTCCTGTAGCCTATCAAGACCACAGTTGATTATACAGGTCAAAGCACAGAGAAAGAAGGGAAAACACCCAGAGTCAGGATCCATAAGTGACAGCTCATGGGGGCGCCTTACTAAAGGGACAGGAATGGACGTCATATATAGCCCACTGGTGGCCTCATGGGTAGCCCAAAGGCAAAAAATCTGAACTCATCAGCTTCCCCCGAGAGAGAAAGATGGGCAATCAATCTCCTCTGTGGGGATTTACAGCCTCTGCAACTCGCTGGACTGTCCGCCATGAGCCAGTTCTGACCAGGCAGTCGTGAGAGAGCTAGGGGGCTG